TTTTTTTTCTAAATAAATAAAATAAATATGGGATTATTATTAGTAGTTGTAGTATTATTAGATTTATAAATAATATAATATAAAATACTATTATTCAAAGCATAAAAAAGTTATTCGAGACTCTCCGGCCTCCCCTTTTCCATTTAAAATTTCCATTTAATCAAAAAATAAATAAATAATATAATAAAAATTTTTACTCAAATATTCTCCTTCCTTGTGATTTAATTCATCTGCCCCAGAAACTCTCATACTATTGAAATCTTTTTTGTGTGTCAGAGACAGAGTTGTGTGGTACAGCTTGGTGTGATGTATAGAGTGGGTGTTGTTACCTTCTATTCAAGGAGTTTGTTGGGTAGGAGGTGGATGAGTCATGTGCAAACAATTATAACCAATTTTCAGTCGCTAAGGAACAAGGGGAAAGTGTCCTCTCTGCTTTAGTTTGTATGAGTGTGTTTTGCATCTTTCCATCTTATGCCCCTCTTCACTTAATTTATAAACCATTCAATAATTATCCACTGCAATCTACCCGGAGCTCGGCGAGTGAGATAAGTTATGCTAATGTTGCTATTTGATTCACATTCTTTATCATTGATATAATCCACAATGACAGCTAAAGATGAAGCAGTGTCACTGAGAAATAAAGTGGATCTGGCTTGTTCCGGTAGGTTGCCGCTGCAAGAAAATCTTTGAATAAGTGCATCACAATCTGCTGCGTGTGCATTTTTTCCAGAAATGTCCATCCCGCAAATATGCCAACAGATATTGCAAAGAGTTTGCTCTAAGTATAGAAACTCCTGTTTCATTCAGGATTGGGCTTATACAGTAGAGGTGCTGCTGGGTATCTACTAGACAGATCCATGGAAGTTTCTTATAAAATATTTGCGCTTCGGCTTCACTGTTTGTTATGCTGTCCTAAAATTCATGACAATTTTATTGTCTCTTATGCTCAGCAAAACTGTATTTATTTTAATAAAAACACAGTTAAAACAGTAATATTGTAAAATATTATTACAATTTAAAATAAATATTTTCTATTTTAATATATTTCATAATGTATTTTTTATGTCATGTAAAGCATGTTTCAGCAGTCATTACTCCAGTGTCACATGATCCTTCAGATATCATATACTGATTTGCTGCTCGAGAAACATTTATTATTATCAACATTGAAAACAGTTATTCGGTTTGTGGAACTGAATGTTTAAAAGCATTTATTTTATTTTTATTTTTTTTGTATCAGTGCAAGTCTTTACTGTCACCTTCAATCAATTTAATGCATTCTTGATGAATAAAGTATTAAAATATAAATTTCTCTGAAAAAAATTACTGACCCCAATTTTTGCACTCTAGGTCTTATAGACCAGACAAAAGAACACTTGATTTCCCAGAAAGCCATACCTGTTTAACTGCAATTCATTAAATTCCAGGTCCTGTCATTCCAAATCAAATTCCAAATCAACTTTGAGTTGAGCTGTCTTTTCTTTTGCAAAAACACGTACTGTTAAAATAACAGCCAAATGAAAATGCTAAGCCATTACTCACACTCATAGCATCAAGAGCCTGTTCTGAGGTGTTTTTGGTGGGCTGTAATGGCATTATAGTTGCATACAGCCTGAATACCAACTAAGTCAAGCACCTGACCTTAGACCCGATCTCACAACTGTTTTGTGTGCCTTAGCGTGCATGCACCTGTGTGTGCATGAGGTAGTGTGTGTTTGCAGAGAAAGCTTGACCTTTAAGCAAGTCAGGGGGGAATGAAAGCAATCTTGCAAGGTAAATTACCTGTCAAAACTTCAACTTTAACTTGTGGGAGAAAATGAAACAGCTGATCCATTTTATCTAAAACATGCAGCTGTTCGTTTGCGTCTGACCTGTTTCTCGTTCTCGTCCTCTAGTTGCAAGCGCTGTTGGATGCAGTTTCTGGCCTGTAGGAAGGCCTTCCTTTGGGCGCGCTCAGTAAGGACTCGAACAAACACACCCGACAGATTCACACCGACCAGCAACACTGCATTTGCTACCAGCTACGAGAACACAGAGAGAGAGAGAAAGAACAGGGTTTGTGTGACAATCTCTGTTTATCAGACCATGGTGAAGGATTCTGACATTTAAACAACATTCACCGACTGAATACGAACTTTCAGTGATTAGGAGTGGCATACTGGTAAGTGTGTGTGTGTGTGTGTGTGTGTGTATGTGTGTCTCTGTGTGCAAAACAGGGGCAAAGAGCAAAACTAGCTTGAAGGAGAGATGGAAACAGATGCCGAGAACGGGGGCAGCGGGTTCATTTTTTTCAATCCATCCTGAGATGATAAACTCGAGTGCGGAGACGGACACCAACCCCCCACGCTAGATAGCCTGAGAATCTCTATGGATTAGCTCCTGTGACCGAAAGAATCAGCAATTGCCTGGCTTTTGAGACACGTCCCTTCAAACAGGCGCCTATTAAGGGCTTTGTATTGTTCATTCATAGAGCAACAGAAAATTAGATTACCCAGAATCCATTCAACTGGTCTATGCATTTTTTTAACAGGCCCTTTGTAAATGAAAGTGAAGGCCATTTGCTGAATAGCACACAGCAGTGGCATTATTACAAATCCTTAGCAAGGTTATGAGGCTTATAAATTAGGTAACAAGGCTAATGAACAATGGGGTCTAGGGAAGCCTGTTTCCGCCACAGAATGAAAAAATAAAAAAGGTAATTGTGATTTTTTTTATCTGACAATTCAGACTTCTTTCTCACAATTTTGAGTTTATATCTCGCAATTGAAACTTTTTTTTTGCAATTCTAAGAAAAAAAGAAATACGAGATATAAACTCAGAACTGAAAGATATAAACTTTCTCTCTCTTTTTTTCCTCAGAATTCTGAATTTACATCTCGCAATTCCCCCATGGAATAAAAAAGGTAATTGCGACTTTTAACCTCATAATTCTGACTTGTTTCTTGCAATTGCGAGTTTATATCTCACAATTCTGCACTTATATGCTGAGTTTGTCTCTCATAATTCAGACTTTTTTCCTTGCAATTCTGAGAAAAAGGAATTGAGAGATATAAAACTTGCAATTTTGACTTTTCTTCTCATAATTTGAGTTTTAGAAGTCAGAATTTTGAGATATAAACACAGAATTCCAACTTTCTTAATTTTTTTTGTTTTTTTTTTTATTTCAGAATTCTGAGTTTACATCTTACCATTCAGGCTTTTTTTGCCACAAAATAAAAAATAAAAAAATGTAATGGTGACTTTTTAATCTCACAATTCACTTTTATTCTCAGAATTGTGTTTATATCTCACAGTTCTGAGACTATATCTTGCAGTTCTGTGTTTATATCTTGCAATTCTGAGTTTATATATCACAATTCTGCATTTATATCTCATAATTCAGATTTTTATTCTCACAATTGGTTGTTTATATCTCACAGTTCTGAGACTATATCTTGCAGTTCTGTGTTTATATCTTGGAATTCTAAGTTTATATCTTACAATTCTGCTTAGAATTGCAAAACTCAGAACTGCGCAAAAAAAAAAGTCATAATTGTGAGATAAAAAGTCACAATTATCTTTTTTATTTATTTATTTATTTTTAATCCATTGGTGGAAACAGTCTTCCACAGTGGCCAGCTTGGTTAACTGGTATAGGCTATTTATTGGTAATCATTGATCAAGGCATTAAAGTCATGTGATTAGCTTATAGGCAGCTGACCATCCTGTATTTTAATCCGTGATGTGCACCAAGGTTACGCTCTGACAGTCTGAGTGAGAGGTTGTGAGAAAAAACAAAACTCATTAACTCAGCATGTGAACGATGACACGTGTCTAGATGTGAAGTGTTCTTTAAGTTTGCAGAGCAATAATGAAATACTGTATATGCTGTGTGCTATGCAATGCTGCTGTTTTAATGTGAAGTGGCACGCTGATATTTTTAGATCAGGTGTTTTTAATGAGTTTATGTCGATTCTCTTTGCTTAAGGTCTTTTGAGAGTTTTGATTGGATTTTAGGCACTCTATCGGTCTTTTCGATGAAATCAAGGCTTAGTAGGTCACCAAATCCAGTCCCTGTTCTCAAAGGCTTGATTTTTGATGATGGAAGCTGCAATTCCTGTGTGAGTGTTTGTCACAAACATCATTTAGCATCCAGCGAAGATGTAGTGAGACATGTGAAACTGTCACGGCGTTCTGTAAATCAGAGGCGTAGAGGTTACGTGCTGAACTGAAATGTGTCATTTTGTCTGTCCGCCAGATTAAACGAAAGGTCAATGCATACAAATACTCTCCATATTAATATCATGAGACTTGCTCTGTTTACAGCCTCACTCCTTTCATTTCAACTTTCTTGTTCTGTTTAGATTTCCTCTGCTTAATGTCTCAGAGACCCCACTGATGTATGTATAACAATAATAGCATCTATGGCATCTATTTCAGTAATGTTGTTTCTGTTTTGAATCAATGTGACCTCAGCAAAAACACATAGCAAACATAAACAGCTGGCAGAAGAGTATCTCTACAGTGTCAAAAATTGAAATTCTGTCATCACTTACTCACTCTCATGTCATTCTAAACCTGTATCACTTTAATTGTTCTGCGGAACACAAAAGAAGATATCTTGAAGAATGTAAATAATCAAATAGTTTTGGTTACCATTGGCTTCCTTTGTACAGACATTTTTTCAAAATATATTTTATCTTCTGCAGAAGAAAAAAAAAGTCAATGTTTTGGAATGACATATGGATAAATGATGACAGAATTTACATTTTTGGGTGAACCGTCTCTTTAAGTATCAGCCTGATTCTTAAATGTGAGGTATTTTTTGAGCTATGAAAATGACCTAGATGGAAACTAAAAAGAAGAGGTTTTCAGGTCTGTCTGAAAGGTCTGTATGAAAAAGTCAGACCCCAAACAGAACATGAGGTTTACTATGTCAAATGTAAAACAACATTTAAAATGTTTAGAAATTTTACAATGGATTTTTTTAACAATTTTGTGGTAAAGGTAAATCTCAATAACTACACTCATACATGCTGTTCCTGGCCAATTTTTGTCTGAAACATACTGAAAACACTGTGATATCACACTCACAGTTGTGCTGTAGTACTGAATATCAGACCTGCAGCCCTGTGTTTATGGCCAAAGCTGTGCTGACATTTAGCACAAGAGCACTCTTGCACATGTGATTATGCTTAATTGTATCACTATGATGCTGGCTGGAAGAAAATTTATTTAAGGGAATAAGGAGTATAGTCCCAGTCAGAGGAAAACTTCAAATGAAAACTAAACGAAAGCTCTATTTATTCTGAATATATTTTTTTGTACACATCTTCATAAATCTCCAACTGGCCAATCATGTATATAAATAAATTATTCAAACTAAAGGTTATTCCACTATTGGGTATTAGAGTCCTTTGTTGTTGACAGAAAACAATACAGTATGCAGTCGTCTCACAGTAAAATTATGACTGCTAAAGTTAATAAAACACATTGATTAAATAAGTGTATAGAATTTTTACGCTAATTTTGGCATAAAATCGACAGCTGTGCAAGCTGTTGAAATATCTAAATTTCAGTTTTGATATTCTTCATTAAATCAATGTTGGAAGTGATTTAAAACCCACAATGACGCTTATTTTTGAACATTATCAAATAGTTCCACATTCTGTTTGATTTGTGTGGTTTATTTTTTCATAAAAGAAGTTCTGAGAGGTTTCTGGCTGACTGCTTCTCTAGGAGCTGTCCATCCTCAGTGGTGCTGAAGTCAAACTGGCCTTTGTACGCTCTTCACGCAACCTGTGTGCGTGCACAGCCCTCATGCTCCACCAAGCGCACTATTCGCTAGTGCATCGCCCTATATGACACGCCAAATACAACAAATGCGAATTGTTCAGGGAAGGAATGTCCGATGATACAACTTACCGGTGTCCACACGCGAGGTTTACGCGCCGTTACCGATGTCGCCGTCACGATGAAATGCGACGCAGCCACCAAGATGCCGAACAAAACCGCCAAGAGCGTCCTGACCGGTAGCAGAGAGTAGGCAACAAAAATAACGAGCATCAGCTGCCAGACACCTTGCTCAGGTGTTGTGCTCGGTGCGTCAGGCCCCTGCGCGCCCTGCGTCCCGTGACCCAGCACGAGAGGAAACGGGCAACAGAGCAACGCGAACGTGAAGCTGAAGAGCAGCGCGAGCCGCGCGATCTGCTGCAGCTGCGTGACCTGCAGATATTTGACGTTGGTGACGATGAAGAGCGAGGTGAAGATGACGCAGTGGACCGGGTGCGAGCCCTTGGACACGGTGAAGCGCGAGCCGGCGGACAGCAGCTCCACGAGCGCCAATGCGGACGCGGCGAGGATGAGGATGGCCAGCGCTTTGAGCGTGGCGGTCTGCTCGAGCTTCAGGTTGTACTTCTGGAAGAGAGTCTCGAGCTCGTTGCAGTCAAACTCGCGCTCGCACGCGGCGGCCAGGCAGCGACTTTTCCTCTGCCACGTGCGGACTCTGGGAAACGGAACTTCGTCCATAGCGGGGCCATTCATGCAGCCAGAGCTCCTCTTCACAAGCACCGCATGTCCTGCACTTGTTGTCGCGGTCCGGGCAGCAAGAGACGGGCTTGCGCACACTGACCCCAGCGCGAGACTGTATCTAATCCGCAGCACGCGCTGCCACCATCCACAGGTTGGTGACTGTTGTAACCAGCGCAGACAGCACCCGCCTCCTCTTTTCTCTCCCTCGCTCTCTCTCCTCCCTCCTCAAGGCGGTCTCCAGGGAACAGACCACCCGTAGCGTTTGTTCGGCCCCAGAAAGAGGTTAACATCGACCACGCAGAGTCGGGACTCCCCTCTCCGCATCCCACAGCTGCATCTCAGCGCCGCGGCCGGATCACGCATGCGCAATGTCAGCGCGAGATTGAGAAACCAGGCACGTCTCCCAGTCCTCAAAAAAAGATAAGACAAGACAGCAGCGCAGCTCTGACAGGGCTCGTCTTAAATGGAAAAACGGTGAGCAGTAGGGCGCCTCCGTGTATGACGCTCGTGTTTATGAAACGAGCGAAATATGTTTTCCTTTCGACTCGCTAAAACAGAAATAGCCCAGGAGTCTCCCCGCCGCGCGCCTATAAATAGCATACTGATCAGTGGCCTTTTAATTAAGCACTTTAATTCCAGCTCGAGCCTTTGTTTGGAGTGCCGTTACCGATCCGGAGGCGGAGCAGGTGCTGCGGATTACAGATCACATTCATTTTTTATTCTCGCGCATCTGCGGCTAAATTGATTACTGCCGGGTGCCTAAGTGGATTTTTACGTTGGGACAATGGGGTTGAGGAGGTGTGCCCGCTCCTCCATTCATGATGAGCTTCTGTTCACTTGGATGCTGTTAAATAGCCCGTCAAGAGAGCGCTCGAGTCCCGCTCGGACCTTAGAATAGAAACAGACTAAGGGCGCTGTTAGGGCCCCTGACAACTTTCAAAACACATAAACATAAGCGTTATTGCTTTTTAGTTAGTCATACCAAAAACAATAACTGGTCACACCAAAAAATTTAATAAAATAAATAACTTTTACAATAAAGTTAAAAAAAAATTATTTCACTCAATTTTTGATTCACGAGTTCACAGTTCACACCACAACTAATAACAGTACAGAGAAGTGAAATCCTTGGAATCACTTGCAGAGCGAATTTTTTCAGGCTGATGAATGATTAAAACATTGACAGCCAATCAAACATACGAATTTAAACTGTGCATTGTTAAAATAAATCTAGGGTCCACTGGTGTGTACGCTAATACAGTTACCAATTTACCATTATAATTTTCGTTTTGGTGTGAAACAGCCTTTAACTACACAACGTACTGAATGTCAGCAGATCCACAACTCCACTCCGGGTTTTCCATTTCTTGCTCCTCGAGCGAAACCCTACTCCGAGTTCACTCTATAAATTTGTTAAATGTGAAATTAAATCACGTTTAAACTATTTTCATAGAGTTTTCTCAACACGTATTTTTAACGAATTTTCAGTCGCCCATTCGCTCACATTCACCCTCTCTGTCATAAATTTTTGTCAAAACGTTTGGACTTTTGCTCATCTGGCAATATTGTAAAATTTTTCTCTCATTCATTCTGACTGTATATATATATAGTATTTATATAAGTGTTTACATGAACAAACATATACCGGTTATCTTATGCTTAATAACCCAACATCACATAAGGTCATGTAAACAGCTTAAACTGTGTTCAAGTGGTTCACAACTGGAAAAAAGCTAGGCTATTTCAAAATCTCAGAAACGTGGTTTTGTGATCTGATTTCCAAAATGCCAGTTAAATCACAAAATCATGCAAAAAAGTCAGTGGTTCTGCTGTCTATTCAGGGCCCTTAAACATGTCCCGAAGCATCAGAATCCCCTGAAGCAGACAAATAACCCAGAATCATCTTGTTTTAGAAGCTCAGGATTAGTAGGCATCAAAAAGACATCATTCAATCAAACCGTGACACCAAAGAGGAGGTTAGACGTGTTAAAGGGGTCATATGATGTTGCTAAAAAGAACATTATTTTAGAAAGGAAAACTTGAAATCGCATCATATGACCCCTTTAAAATACTGAATTGTGTGCGGGTTGTGTGGCAAAGGAGCATGCTTGTATTATTTATGAGCACTTGATTAAACATGACTGCATTGTGCTGTGCTGAGTATGATCTGTAACTTTATATCCATCTGGCTGCTCCTCAGATTTATCGTGAAGAAGCTGTTTATGCTCAGTAAATTAATTTCAGATAAGCCGAGCTGGCACTCAACAGAACGGTAACTGTCATAACTATCACAATACATAACCGTTAGCACCTCTGAGGGATCCATGAGTCTCATAAATGGGATAATTAAAGGCTGGCATCAAATCAGGCTTTGGAGGGACTTGTAAGTGAAGTACACTTACAATTTATGACATTAGGCCTCCTTCATTGGCATTGACTTGCAGAGTGACAGGGCGGTTAGAAGTTATTTTTGTCACTTCCTCAAAAACGCTTTCAGTTCATGTGTATTTTTGGAGCATCTTGCTTGTATGGCCTGCTTTTGATCGCACAGCATGCAGCAGATGCCCTTGATGGCTGGTAGAGATGTCCCAGCACTTATCCTCATGAAAACTCTGTAAATATTATAAATTAAATCTAAACCCCTACTGTGCCTTTTCGGCGTATCAGGTATTGCTGTTTTGTTTGTCAAATCTATTTTAGACTGCTTTCATTTACTGTTACAAAAACATATTCACTGTCTTTCACTTATTTTCAACTGACTACTTTTAAACTTGTTCATTTAACGTAATCTACTGTATATATCGATATGTACTTGTGATTGATTTATGTTGGTTACTATATTGCACTTTTTACACTTGTGTATTTGCTGTTTGCTAGAGGCGTTTGAGTGATTGATTTTTTGAAAGTTTTATTGATCCTCTGTCCACATCTTACATAGATTCATCTGATGAAAAACATTTCCAACTAAATCTGAATAGTGCAATTAAGGTAAACCAACAGCATGAAATTGCATTTAAATTTTCAAAGTACTCTCTAACGTACAATGAAATTAACATCAGACATGCACAGGAGAAATAGTTATTAATTGGGGGCAACAGGTCAGGCACATGTGGCTCTTTCTGTTTTTTTATCCATTGATTCACTCATCAATCCAGGTCTGTTGACATGGGGGGATAATCGGGAACTCGAGGGGGGTTCAAAAACATGGTTTTCATAAGGGGTCCAGCCTTATAATTGTAATTACTCTGGGGCCGGAGAATTCATGCAACTGCTTTAGGCTCTGTTTTTTTTTTTTTTTTAGAAATTAATACTTTTTTCAAAAAAGATGCATTATAATGATCAAATGTAACAGTTTTAACATTTATAATGTTAAAAATACATTTATATTCTAAATAAAAGCTGTTCTTTTGAACTTTCTATTTGTCAAAATGCCGAATAAAGTGTATTATGGTTTCTACAAAAATGCTGAAGCATTTTCAACACTGATATTAATAATAAATGTGTCTTGAGCAGCAAATCAACATATTAGAATGATTTCTGAAGGATCATGTGACACTGAAGACTGGGCAAATTCAGCTTTGCCATTACAAGAATACATTGCATGTTAAAATATATTAAAATAGAAAACAATTATTTCAAATAGTAATAAAAAAAATTCTCAAAACATAATGACTTAATTCTCGAAATCTAATGAGTTTAATTTCAACATTTTATCTCAAATTTTTTCTTGAAATTTAACAACTTTTTTCTCAAAATTTTACGACTGTAATCTCGAGATGGTTTTATTTTTTTTATTATTTCTTGGCCCTAATCCTCTTCCGTAGTAATCTTTAACATTTTAATAAGTAACTGTAATTTAATTACACATTTTTTCTCAGTAACTGTAATTGATTAGTTACATTTATTTTGTAATTAAATTACATAACTCAGTTACATGTAACTAGTTACTCCCCAACACTGCAATTAACTAAGGATTTACCTCCAAGAGACAGTCCACAAATAGAACATATGATAGATGACATTTTATATTTGACGACAATTACCCATGTTGCAGAACAGATGTTTCGGAGCCATGGTTTCTATGACCATATGAATTTTTCTCCATCACATTTGTCATATTTATTGTCCCTGACTAGAAAAACGATGCTGCGCGTTCGCGAGACCTTTGTCTGCGATTTTACAACACTTCGCCCTCTTGTACGAGAGAGAAAGACTCAGCTAATGCTCGTGTCACCATGCCAGTCTTAGACGCAGCAGGAGCTAAAAATGGACAGATAAGCAAGGGGGTGGGGAAAGACGCAACAAAAAAGAGAAGCGAGAGAGAGAGGTCCCCTGCTTCTACACCATCCTGTTTTCACAGATTAGCTTTTTATTGATCTACCTCTCACCTGCTCCCTCTCTCAATTTCTCCCGTACACGCAGACACGCTCTCTTTGAGCGCAGTTTCCTACTGGTGGCAGCAGCCCTGCATTTTTAACACGCTCACACACACATATGCTAACACAATTTTCCTTTTCATCTGTGTGTATTCCTCTCTGGCAGGGCCTTTGTGAGTAGAGAGACTCTAAGAATAGCAGTCAGTCAGATGAACACCTCAGAACGTCTGCTTCCAAAGGAGTTCCGCTGCGCGTTTCTGTGTGCGTGCTTGTTTCTGGAGTAAGAGAGACAGCAGAGAAATGAGAACAGACAGCTTTACACGCAACAGTCTCCTTGCATTATATTTGGATAGTAACAACACACATACATATGCACACGTACGCTCAAACAAAACAGATATGCACACGCAATGACAGCTTGCAGTTTGGACCCTCCGTTCCACCTCCTAGTTGGTGGGCAGGGATTGCGTTTCCATAGTAACTGAAAAGGGGAGCTCCCCAGGCCCCTCCTATGTGCCCAACTGCTATAAGTTCACCATGGACGCAAACGTGCAAATATTTTCTTGCATTGGCGAGTCGTTTTTTCTTAAAAACCTGAAAAAGACAAATAATATGATTTGAATTACAAAACTGCAATTACGAAATGACATTTATGTGGGTATTGCGAAGTTGTGTATACACAAACGCTAAAGCGAACAAGTCGCAATTTTCCAAAATATCAAAAAGAACTTTTAAAGTACCTTAATAAAAGGGTCAGATGACCCAGAAACTTCCTGCTGGTTTCCTGTGACTAGACACGGGTCACTTCCTGTTCTGAAGCTGGGTGAAAATGTCTGATTCGGGGATGAGTCACGCAGTGCTTGCCCTTTATAGAACATACGCACATCAACTCATAAACTCACAGCT